GAGTGTTGTTGCACGCAAACTAATGCTCTACCTTATTTCATATGAGAAATATTTGATGCATGGCGCTCTTTAATATGTATTCGAGGTTACTAACAGACGGTAGTTTATGAAACCAAAATAATGGGATTTCTCTTTCTTTGATAGCAGTATAATAATTGTTTAATGCAGTTGATACAATGTGTTATTCAGGGAAGGTAAAAAAAAAAAAATATGACTGTCATTATAATGCACACCATCATTAGAAAAGATTGAGGAAAACACAAATTAGCACTGTGCTTGAGATTTGGTGGTAATTGATAGACAGGGACATTACAATTTCATTGCATTTTGTATCCAATGTACACTTCGTTTTTGAAGTTGCAGTAAATGTTTTCAAAACAAGGGATAGGCAGGTTTTGTTTTGGTTTCATTGCTATGAGTAGTGTTGCTTTAAGTGTGTGTATTTATTGCTGTGTGGTTGCCACCCTCATGCATGTTGTGTTTGTGTGCCATACACATGTCTGTAATAACTCTCAGTGGGAATTGACTCTACTAACACAACTCACATTTTTTGTTTGTTTTCAAGATAATGTTTTGATCTGTGTGTATATATAAAATATATATATATATTTATTTATTTATATAGAGATAGAGAGATACTACACACATCTGCAGCTAATACACACATGTGCAGCTAAGCTCTGTCAGTTCTCTCTCCTCATCCCACCAAACCTCATCCCCACTCTCCAAATCAAGACTTTTAATAGCGTTTGAACCGAGGCTTTAATGTTATTATTTAGATTGATCTACACCGTAATCAGGCGTTGTAGAGTTTGAAGGGTTCCACTTATAGAAACTGTTCATGCATTGTGTCTGAAAACATTAACGTAGTTTCCACGCTCCAACCTGATGTAATAATTTAGCGGTTCCCGACTGGTATTCACAGACTCCCTGGGGGTCCATGAAACAAATTAAAATTTGTGCAGATTTTTTTTTTAAGTTGTAGGGGGGGGGGGGGGGGGTGTGTGTGTGTGTGCAGAGATTATAATAATAGATTTGCAGTCTTTACTAGCTGCTAAAAAACTGAGGGGTCAGAGAGGCAGACCTGTATAAATAACCTGGGTCTGCGGGTTTTATCCAGTTGTGGGAACCACTGTATCTATCTATCAGACGACTGCCGCCATATTTTACTGAGGGGGGGGGGGGGGGAAAGAGGCTGCATGGTCTCGAGGCATGATGTCCGCCTCAAGTGCTAGCTAGAGATTCCGGGTTCAATCCCCGGTAAGGGCTGGGATTTTTTTTACATGGACTTGGACTTCTAGTAATTTCCCCCTGGTCTCTGGATGGTGAGATCGGATGCCCGTGTGCATTGTTGAGCGTGTTAAACAATCCCTTGGCAGTTGGAAATAAAAAATAGCATCCTAACGGCGTTGCCTGGGCAAAATGTGGAGTTAAAAATCTACCCAAAGTATATCAGGATCCTTGCCGGTGCTACAGAGCATGTGCACTGTGCTGGGCTTCTTCGGACTCAGACTTAAGTTAGAAGAACAGAGCACTTATGGATTAATGGGTTACCACCTGTGTGCCATGATGTTTCGTTGTTCAAATCCTCAAACTGAGGAGGATGTTCTTTCAAAATGTGCAGTTAAACATGGTTATGGCTGGAACCCACTTTGAGACAGAAAGATAAGAATGTCATCCTGCAACTCAGTAAGGACAGACAAGGCAAAGGGCCCAGTTCCATGCCATTATTGCATATGGAAGGTATGGTGGCAGGCCCATGTTGTCTTGTTAACACAAGATTGGGTGAGGCAGTTGCTGTGACACCAGTTATCATTACCTCCCAGAAAATGTTCCAGAACTTATGCATGGGACACATCTACTAGTGCTTTTAACCATTGTGCTACCTTCACAGCCAAAATTTCAATGTGTAAAGGACAATTGCCCACACCTCAATGTGTTTTGAGCAAATAGTGCTAGATCTGTGTTTTATAGACCAGTCAGCACTCGGTGAGTGATGTGGTCAGCATCCTGCTGGCTGCCTTTACTTCCCAAGATTTCACCTGGTACCTTTATTAGGCTGGGTCCACCTGGGAGCTAGTGTCATTTTCTTTTCAAAGTCTAACACTGTTTTGATTCGAACCCACGGCTTTTATTTTTGCAGGTGAGCATCTAGCTGCTGCCCCTCGGGTGCTCCCAAAATCCTGCTCCTTAAAAGCCACTGAACTATAATTTATGATATGTTGTCCTGTTAAAAACTGTAATAACGCTACAATGTTTCTCGCTTTATCTCATTGTAATTGTTTTAACTCATGCGGTACCGATCTACCCACAATGCATTTACTGATTACACCCTACATGAGATGCTTTTCAAAACACTTTTTCTCTCACGTAGTGGTTATTAAAATTATTGCCATCCCAAGCATTAGTTAACTCCCTTTGTCCCTTAGTTTTGTCATTTTAAATCTTCTAATCTATAAATGCACTGTTGTAGGTAACAGATACTTAAGGTATCTATGAGTTATACTTGCATGAAACTGTATGAGGTAATATAATCAGTCCTCTTCAAGGGGTATTTATTTCTCAATTAGATTGTCTTCAGTGAAATTATCACTTCACACTAACCAGACAGTTTGATTTGTTTTGTTCCATTGGGCACTTACAGTTTAATTAGTTCAGTGTGTGTGAATGAATGAAATTGAACATCACTAGGACCACACACTGAGCGATTACCACCCAGTGACTAAAGTGCCTGTGCGTCCCAAGTCCCAGAACCCCGGTTTAACCATAAGGTTATATTAGGGCCCCCAAGGGCCCTATCTGAACTCCACTCAGAGTGGGGTTGTTATATTTATAAAATCTGTCCCAGATAGGGACAATTATTAATTTAATATGTCAGTGTAGGTGTAGCACAGGGTTATTCAACTGGCAACCCGCGGGCCAGATCTGGCCTACAGAAGCCTAGCAATCTGGTAGTCTGGTAGTCTTAGTTTCAGCTTCATAGCAAACGGGTCGCCCCATCTTTGCTCCGCTCCTGTGCCAGCGAAAAACACCCAGAATGTTTATCACAGTCCCTTGTGGAAAGATTGACAGACTGCTGTCTCAGCATATCTAGCATACACTCGCATTAACGCATATGGTAGCCATCCGAAGTGCTAGCAATTGACCTGTGGATCAGTGCCAATGGTGTTGTATTAATGACCTTTCAATGCTTCGGCTTGGACCTCTGGCTCTTGACGATCCCTGTTTTTGACCCCTGAGTAACTTAGCTGAATAGCTCTGGTATAGTATAACAGATGATTCTGTAATAACTCTGGTATAGTATAACAGGTGATTCTGTAATGAGGTCGGGACACACATTTTAGTTATATTCTTTAATCACACCTTTTGACATAACTCTGTGTGTTACTTTCATGTAGCATGTTTATTACTATAAATATAAACGGTATACTTCCTACTGCTTTTGATATAACCACACAATGTTGCTTCAGATATAATCACGGGATGCTGCTTTCCATGTAATCACAGGGTGTTTTTTATTTTTAATTTTTATGTTAGCACATATTGTTGCATTTGTGTGTCACAGAGGGTTGCTGAAGTTGAGTGTTGCTAATAATTATGTAGTATCTTTTTCTACAATATGGTATTTATTTTGACCTAATGGTACAGTAAATTTCTTTTGATACAGTGATACAAGATATTTTTTCTTGATGTACTGATAGCAGGGGGTAGGCAACCACCAGCCCCTGGATACCATAAAGTTATGCCACTGTTTCTCCAGGGCACAAGCCTGGGTGTGTTCAATTGGAATACAGGCTGTTACTCAGGTAGCGAATTCTCCCTCTCTACATCGCCGGTAATACCGAGGGAAGAGCCAGTGCCTGTACAGTTTGGCACTGAGGATTTTGCAGGAAGGGCCAGTGCCAGTACAACTGGACACCTAGGATTTTGCTGGAAGGGCCAGTGCCAGTACAGCTGGGCACCGAGGATTTTGCAGAAAGGGCCAGAGCAGCAGTGTAAACTCTGTTGAATCGCCTTATGGATTCCAGCTTTGGATTTTTTTCTCAGGATTTACTTCCTAAGGACTTTGGCTGAATAAGGTATAACCACAAGACAGTGGGATTTAATGAGATCTAATGGCCTCTCAAAAACAATACTGCAGGGCTCAGTAGAGGGAAAGAGGCAGACTAAAAGAAAGACCTGTTTACAGAACCTTACTGACTGGACAGGCCTCAGGCATGCAACCATGAAGTCCATCACAACTGACCGTCAAAGGTGAAGAGAGCCGATCAGACAGTCAACAGAAACTGGTGGCCCAACGACACGCAGTGATATGGGATGATGATGATGAGTGGAGTTTTGAGACCAGTTTTCCTTCTCCTGGATGAGCTGCACTCCTTTACTGACAAGCCTCATCTGATAGCAGCATATTTCTGATATTAAAGCCAAACGCTCTTTTGATATGCCAGGGAAGACATGCCGGGCTATGGTTATAAGGCTCATATTTCTGTGACCACACAGGAAGTTTATGGCCAGTTGGTTGTACTTCTGTTTTTCAGCTTCTGTGGTAGTATAGGCCATCAACCATGGGAAGATCACTGCATTAGTAGGTGGTTGTCCCAATCAACACCATCTGTCACCATCTGCCTCTCTGTCTCTCTGCCCCCCGTTCCCTTTTTCCCCCTCTGTATCTTACATGATGTCTTGTCTTTTTTCTTTTTTGTTGTTGTTATGTTCAAATATTTTGTCTGAAATAGATTGTCCCCTGTGGTGTTAGCATTACTTTATGTTAGCATTACTTTATGTTAAAACTGTGCCTTGTGCACCAACAAATGCTGTTTATATGGAAAGATATTGGGAGATGTGCTGGCCAGTGTTTTGGTTTATTTCTTCAGCTCTGCAGTATGCTTGTTGTTGTTTTAAATACTTAGTTTATAATGCAGGCACCATGATGAGAGTATATTCTCTGCATATTTTGTGTGGATGTTTCACCATTTGTCTCTTGTTGTTTGCCCCTGCAGGTGACCTGAGTGAGTTGTCCCTGCAGACAGAGAGCTTTGCCCAGAAGCACACCCGCCCTGTATTACCCCATTTGGACACTGCATCCGGACACGCAGGTTTCACTAGCACCACCATCAGTGGTGGCAGCAACCTCAGCTTCTTGCCAGAATGTGTCAGCGGCAACCAGCGCTCTGGTAGCTACAGCAGCATTGTCAGCAGCGGCCCGGGTACCAGTGTGGGAGACTCTTTGAGTCACGCCAGCTCTGGCCTGACCCCAAGAGCTCCTGGAGGCGTCATTGGAAGCAATCCTTTGGACAGTGTTCGCTTTGGCACGGCTGGATTTGGGCACTTCACGGAAAATGGATTGCCTGGCATTGTTACTGGAGGTGAGTAAAGGTTGTTTCCCCCTCCACGTATTTAAGATTCTTGTTTTCTTCTTCATCAGTTGTCAACTCCGATGAAAAGTTCTGGTTGTTCGTCCACTCCTGGAATGTGGTCTTGATCCAGAACTTGATTTTTGCACATCCGTTTTACAGATCTGGCTTAATTGTGTGCAGACTGTTGGATCCTCACCTCTACTGGACTTTGATCTTGATCTGCAGCTTGAGTTTTGCACATCCGTTTTACAGATCTGGCTTATATGCATGTATGCAGACTGTTGGTTCCCCGCAGTTTGAAGAAACTGCACCCTTATGGCATTATTAGGGGAGGGGAGCAGAGGGTGTTCCTTGTTCTCCAAAATGGAGCCCCGGAACCGTCACGGGGAGTATTTCAGCCGAAGGGATTGTTTTTGTACTTCATGATATGTGAGAGTACATTTTGTAGTGATGCACCCGAGGCACAGCTAAATATGCCTGGCAGTAAAATGTGAAATATATTATTTATGTCCTCTTTATCCAAATCATACAACGGTTTTGTGACTTTGATGTTAAAGTCAGGGGAAACGGTGAAATTATGTGCCGATTTCAGTTTCATGAATAAGTTTGTCAGGTGTGGCAGTACATTTGGTAAAACAATTTCTTGATTATTGCCTGAAATGTTTGGTTAATATGTAGCTTTGTCTATGGTCATTTTTTAAATCTGTTTCTGTGGTCAATTTTTTAGCTGTGTCTGTGGTCATTATTCTTGTTTTCTTCCTATTCAGAAAAATTCTTGTGTGCTAATACTGTTGTTAATTTTCAGTTAAGGTTTACATTTTATCCATACTTTGTGATGTCTTTAGAATATTTTCTTTATTTTCATACATGGGCATTTTGTCTAACTAGTCTGTATGTAACAAATGAATAAGTCAACTAGAGAGTGAAGTTATAATGATAGGAGGACGTGTGTGATAGCAACGAACAGGTCAACTTGCCAGGAGTTGGTTGGGGGTCTATGCTCCACTGGAGGATAAAGGACAGAGAAAGAAGTAGTATGTGAGTGTTTGTGGGGTACATGTTTGCCAGAACATGTATTTGTTCAAACTAATTTATTGGTTTATAAATGTGTATATGCCTTGGGAAATTCACAGGTATGCCTTCAAGCTGGAGCTGTGGTGTCCATTCAGTTGGCGTTGATTCCAGGTAAGCCTTGCATTTGTTATGATTTGTTTTATTTTAACAAAAACATTTATTTAGTATATAACATATTTATGAGCTAAATGGTTATTTGTATGTTAAGAGTGATTATGTTATTGCTGTTGTCATCGTTACCCTTATTACAGCTGTAGAAGTTCTTTTTATATATGTGTCTTGTCTGTGTGTGTATTGGATCTGTGTGTGTTTAGCGTCTGTGAGTATGTGTTGCGTATGTGTTGGATCAGTGTCTGTGTGTACTTATTGTGTCTGTGAGTATATGTTAGGTCTGTTTATGTTTAGTGTCTGTGAGTATGTCTTGTGTCGGTGTGTATATATATTGTGTCTTTGTGGGTTTTTTGTCTGTGTGTACAAGGTCCAGTGATTAAGTAATGAGACTGATTGTATTATGGCCAACAATGTACCCCGTTAATCACTCTTCTCACGCTCTCCACATGCTCAGAGGTAAATAATATCTTTGAAGCAAAGCATAGAATATAAAGAGGCAACATTCATCTATGATCTGGCAACATTTTATCTCCGCTCGATAAGTAGACAAGAAACAAGCCACCATTTTGTTGACCTAGTCAGAGGTGCATTGTTACATAATCAAAACGGAGCAAAAAGCTAACATTAAATTCTTTTTTAAAATTCAGAAGCGCCATTTAAACAGTTGTAATGATGCAACAAGTTCATGAGGTTAATTGTTTATCTCGTTCTCAAATTTTCAGGTGGTATTTACAATTCAATAGTGGTGTGGAAATAATTACTAATGCACCTAGACCTGGATGCCAAATTTCTGTTCGTAATGATAAACTCATTGCAAAAGTCAGAGAACAGATACAAGAAGATCATTGTTTTAATGTGAGAATGATGGCAGATGAATCTGGTGTTAATAGAGAGACCATTCATAACATTTTAGTGCAAGATTTTAAATTTTAAAAAGTTGCTTGCTGGTTTGTACCACAATCGTTGTCTGAGGACCAAAAACATCAGCGGGTTGAGTACCCAAGAGACATCATCAGAACAAGAATTTTTGGCCCCAAAACAAGTGTGTGTTCTTAGCCTTCCACCCTGTTCCCCAGACTTGTTTCCCTCTGATTATTTTCTATTCCCAAAATTAAAGTTACGATTAAAAGGACACTTCTTTAACGAAGGCTGTAACATCGACTTTAAGGGCCATAACAAAAAAACTACAGAGGTCGTTCCAGTGTTTTTTAGATCATGCCACTTGCTGTATCGATGCACAAGGACCTTTGAATAAAATACATGTTATATCTTCAACTGTTGATTTTTTTTTTTAATGTTTAGGGAATTAGTCTCATAACTTAATTGTCGGACCTTGTATGATGTGTCAGTGGGTATGTGTGTGTTGTCAGACATGTGTGTGGGTCTTCTACTGCCTTGTATGTCTGCATGTGTGTGTATTTTTTTTTTCATTTGTATTTGAAGGAATGAATTTGGTATCCATCCTGCTTTGATTTAACTTACATTCATACATTGACTTTTGACATATGAACATAATATGTGTGATATATAAAATACATGTGCTGTCTCAGAGACCAGTGTTTGAAAGGGTCAAATGTAATGCCCAGTTTCTGACCCTGTGGATATAAAGTTTGTTTTTGCTCCTTGGGGATTTGTCGAAGGACTAGAATAGTAATGTATTCTGGTTGGCGGCTGATGGCAAAAGTGGAATTTGTTGTTCTTGACACATGTTGCTTCCCTTCTTTTTTTCCCAACTTGTATTAACCAAATACAAGAAAAAACCAGTCAGGTTTGTGGACGAATAGGATCAACAGTGCCACTCAGCAAGGCATGAACAGTCACATGATATGTCTGAAAGCCAGGGGTATCTTAGTGAATTCTATATGGAGTGGTTTCAACACTTTGAAAATATCGATTTTGTATGTTGGTGCATGTTTCAGCTCTAACTATGGGCTCCACCCGATGACCGAGTACAGCAGCCATGGAATGTTTGGGATGCCACCAGCACCTGGTGTTGATGGTTGTGTATATGGTAACAGTGGTGAGTTGTTTGTCACTGTATAGAGTTAGTCACATGTCCTACTTCTGCTCTCTCTCTGTCTCTGTCTCTCTCTCTGTCTCTCTCTCTCTCTCTCTCTCTCTCCCTCCCTCTTTCTCTCTCTCTCTCTCTGTCTCTCTTTCTTTCTCTCTCTCTCCCTCCCTCTCTCTCTCCCTCTCTCTTTCTCTTTCTCTCTCTCTCTCCCTCTATGTCTCTCTCCCTCTCTCTCTATCTGTCTCTCTCAGTCTCTCTCTCTCTTTGTCTCTCTCTCTCTCTCTCTCTCTCTCTCTCTGTCTCTGTCTATCTCCCCCCCCCCCCCCTTTTTCTCCCTCTGTTTATGTGAGAATGTGCAAGTACATGCTTGAATGAATGTATAAGTGTATGTGTGAAGGTTGAGTTTTTGGAATGACTGAAGATAAAAAAGACATCTGTGCCCAGTTTTTAAACTTTTAAAATAAAGTTTGTTCTCCCTTGTGCATGCACACACACTCACTGACTCTCTCAACCACACACTGTGACATTGTTACAAACACTGACACTTGTGCACACACACACACTGACTCTGAATCACAGATACTGACACTTGCACACACACTGACTCTCAAATTGTCAATCATACACACTGACACTCTCACACACTGTCACACACACACACACACACAGGCAGTCGCTATTGTTCACACACACTGTGACCCACACACCTTAACATTCACACACAATCGGATTTACATTTATAGGGTGACATTTTTCAGATGTGAACCATCTGTACCCCATGTATGCTGGCAGTGTCCCCGACAACCTGAACCAGCCACAGCTGACCATGATGCAGCAGCTGCAGGTGGAGAGACGTCGCCGTCTGTGGGAGCACCAGCAGAAAGTCAGCAAAGGTAGGCACTTCCTGTTCACATCTCTCACCAGCAATCCTTTCTTGTAGTCAGGCTCAGTAATGTCTTCTCCTTCTTCTTCTTTTTCTTCTTCAGTAGAGGTTTACTGCAGTCAGGTTGATGATAGGAAGCTCATCTGTCTTGTCTGCTGAGTTTTCATCACAGTTTATGTTTTATTTAGTGCTTTGTGAATAAAGACTGGTCGACCCATTCGTTTGTATTTATGCATGTCTTTTCCAAATCCTCCGTTTCACATTTGATGTTATATTTAGTGCTTTGTGAATAAAGACTGGTCGAACCATTCGTTTGTATTTATGCATGTCTTTTCCAAATCCTCCGTTTCACAGTTTATGTTATATTTAGTGCTTTGTTAACAGAGTTGTTTTTTAATGTTTGTTTGTATTTATGTTTTCCAAGTCCTTAGCTGAGCTTACTAGTCACATTTTATGTTTTACTTAGCACCTCCTTTGTTAGTTTACCCCTCTTTCCAGGAAACACCTCATCCATGGCTGCATAACTGCAAAGCTCTAGTACCTAAGTATTTAATATATGCTGGCATTCTTGTCCAATCTATCAAATGTCTGTGATTTGTTGGGCAGTAATGTCACTGTTATAATCTTGACTTCAGGAGAAGACTGGCCAGGGTTCAACAGTCCACTGATCCGAAATGACAGTCTGTGGGACAACGACTACAACCCAATGGAGCACAACGCCTGGTCAACCAACACCGATAACATTCAGGCTGGCAATGTGAGTACCAACACAGCATGCTAGAATGTGCATTTTAAAAATCTGTCCTTACAATACAGATATACTCTTCTTCTTAGCGTTAACCAGCTGTAAATCCTGGCAGTACAATCGGGTTGTTCGTCCGCTCCTGGACTTTGGTCGTGATTCAGGACTTGAATTTGTATGCAGAGTGGTGGTTCCTTGCCTCTCAGGCAGACTCACTCTGACTTTGTCGGAGACATCTCTAAATAATCGCTTCTTACAACATGCTTCTTAGGAAAGCAAGGGATCTGTTCTTTGTTCTCCAAACTGGAGCTCAGGAACCCACACGGGAATGTACAGAAATAAGTTACTGGAGAAATTTTGAAGCCACAGAAGCAGTACTTCAAACAAATTACTATGTATAGATTGGCACTCATAGACAAGTAGAGATAGAACAACACAATAGATGACAGGATTGCTTTGTGCCATGTCCTATCACTAGAACCATATACTCGGTACATCCTAAGGGTGGACAAGTCAGTTTGATGGCAGTTTAGGTGTGTGTATTTTGGTGTTCTTGGATTTTCATTGTGAGAATTCCTTTTTCCGGGATCGTTGGTGACATGTTGGTTTATCCTTCAGTAATTATTCCCAGCATGCCACAAGTAGATGAGCGAGAGAGGGTCATATAACCTGTGTGTGGTTGTTGCTTTAATTTTTTTTTTATGTTTGAAGCTGGCTCTTTACAAGATGGCTGAAAGTAGAAATGCTGTGTTTTGTAGCTGATGATTGAGTTATATACATGTTTATCCTTCAGTAACTGCATTGTATGCCATAAATAGATGAGTGAGAATCATATAGCCTGTATAAGATTGTTATGTTGATTTTTTATGTTTTAGACTGTCTCGTATTTGTTGGCTAAAAGTAGGTTGCTGTGTTTTGTAGTTGATGGTTGAGACATACATGTGCTGTTTGCTGATTGCAAGCAGCCTGTGATTCTTGTCAAATTGATGATTAATAGGGGCAAATGATTTGTTTGTAATTAGTAAACCTTGGCATGTTGGCTTGCATCTGACGCTGTTTCTGGCACTAAAGAAGCAGAAGTGGCTGGCGGCAGCCGTCTACTCATGCTACATTAACACCAATGTCATACATGCGTCTGACCTTGCAAGTTTCAAGGGCTCAGTTAGTAAGGGTGACATACAATTGATCTTGAAGCTCCTATAGGTATTTGTCTTCTACACTCAGGCTTCATCTCTTCTTTATTTTAATATGTGTCAGAAGTCTTTTTGTTTTGTTTTGTAGATAAATTGTATTATTTACTTTTTTGTCCATGAGTGTTCTACAGTCAGCCTTCATCTCTTCTTTGTGTGTTAATCTGTGTCAGAAGTCTTTTTTTTTTTTTTTTTTTTGTAGATAAATTGTATTATTTACTTTTTTGTCCATGAGTGTTCTACAGTCAGCCTTCATCTCTTCTTTGTATGTTAATCTGTGTCAGAAGTCTTTTGTGGATTATTTTCATGATGTACCGTAATTGTCCATGTATGAGAAACCACCCCCCACTTTTTTTTAAACCCGGAATTAAAAAATAAATATTTTAATCTAATTCCGTGTAGATACCCAACTGTATAGCTTTAAACTTTAAAAAAAAAATTGGGAAAACAGTTTTATACACAGAGAAAAAGGATACATAACAGTCCTCATATATTTCAGAAAGATTAAGGTTAACATTTGTGAATTATATTGTAGGAAATTATTGTTAGTTCTTTTAGTACCAAGGAACACTTCATGCCTTGATTTATAACTATTAACTGTTCTCCAGTACTGATGAGTTAGCCTGTGTAGTAGCAGTCCATTTGTAGCTGATGGATAAATGTTAACATTTGAGATGTGTCTTGTTTTGGTACATAAATGGTAGCATTTGTGATAGTTGTTCTTTTGAAATTTATAGATACATTTTAGTTTTTGTCATACCTGTGTCACAGTATACAAATACTGCTGTGTGCACACAGTATACAAATGTAGTCAAAGGCAGTCCCCCATGTGGAACGTACTGTGGTTAAGACCCTAATTATCACCCTACGGGTTGAACAGGGTTTCTGCGACCTGTCACTGGATGTGATGTCCTGGTGGTTGAAAATGTATACAAACGTTCTTGTTGCCACAGTGAAGGAACACTGGCTGCAGTATATCTGCTGCTATCTGTGGGAATATTATGTCATAAGGCACCTATCTCTTCCATGGTGCAACTCTCATACCGCTGTCTAAAAGCCACAAGAACAGCCTCTTTTTTTTTTTTAAACCACCTACTTCAGGAAGCGTATCCTGCTAAAAGTCGTGTATTACATTGTGAAATGATTTTACTAACCTCTTAACCCCAGAGCCACACATTGATACATGTCCTTGCCATTTTCTTTTCTAAAAAATGTTCATTTATAAGTAGACACTTTAACTGGAACTGATATATAAATGTTCACATTTGTGAAATGTCTTGTTATAAGTGATAGGCAAGTATTAACATTTGTTTGATTTGTCATTTGTGTTTGTGTGTGGTTTTTTTTTTTTTTTTAATATATTACATGGAGTGCTTAGCTACTACTAAATGCATGTGTCCACCGTGAGATGTTGCAACATTAGAACAACAATATGAACAACACTGTCGACAGTCGTCAGTAGACTGTTGGCAGCCAGGGCTGGTCCACACATGCTATATCAAAGACAGTGTCACGACAGGGTCTGACCTCGCTAGTCCAGGGGTTCAGATAGTAAGAGTGACCTACATTTCAAGATGTGGTTGTTGGAAATCTGGTGTGATGTGTTCTGTTCTGAACATATGCCTGCATCAGATGCCACGTAATGGTGTTTCTGTGTAGTTCTGTGTTGTCACCAAGTGTTGATTGTGTGTGCCTGCATCAGATGCCAAGTAATGGTGTTTCTGTGTAGTTCTGTGTTGTCACCAAGTGTTGATTGTGTGTGCCTGCATCAGATGCCAAGTAATGGTGTTTCTGTGTAGTTCTGTGTTGTCACCAAGTGTTGATTGTGTGTGCCTGCATCAGATGCCACGTAATGGTGTTTCTGTGTAGTTCTGTGTTGTCACCAAGTGTTGATTGTGTGTGCCTGCAAGTGGAGATGTTCCTTCGTGGTGGGCATCTGTGTCCTTGATTAGGATAATCACAACAGAGCATCATCATCCTTATGTGCCATTATATGTCACATAGGGCTCACAGCCTGTTCTTTCGTTATATTCTATCCTGTACAGTAATTTTTTTTCATAGATGGAATCTGGTCCAGCAGCTTTGGCCTCCCTCATCAAGATTTATAATAGGGTTTCTTGTGAATGTCCTCACCGCCTCAGTCCAGTTATTTGTTTCATAGATGGAATCCGGTCCGGCAGCTTTAGCCTCCTTCATCAAGATTTATATAATAGGGTTTCTTGTGAATGTCCTCACCGCCTCAGTCCAGTTATGTGTTTCATAGATGGAATCCGGTCCGGCAGCTTTGGCCTCCTTCATCAAAATTTATGTAATAGGGTTTCTTGTGAATGTCCTCACCGCCTCAGTCCACTTGTTTCCCATTTAAGTACATATTTGTTGATTCTCTGTTTGCTTCTCCCCTGAATGTGCCTGGTATATTGCCATCTTTTGTCTGTTAACTGTTGGTGTCAGCAATTGTCTAAACATTTCTCTTTTTTTTCTTTGACTTTCTTGAGTTCATCCCATTTCATTAATCTTCATCAGTTTCCTTAAACATTTGTTTTTAAATACATTTAACTTTTGCTCCAGTGGTACTCCAACTAGCATATGGCATATTTTAAAACTGAAATAAGGGAATTTAAAATGTGTAACTTGGTAATCATAACAATATATTTGTTGGGGAAAATTCCCCAGTAAGTAAGTTAGACAATCAGATACCTGTATACACTAGAAGAAACCTGAGCAGCTATATTTATTGCCTCACATGAAATGTGTTTCCTGTATGCTACACTACAAGCTTCTTCTATGTCTGAAAGCCTTGTTTGAATTTAGGTATTCATTGGATGTTATTCAAGACATTCCAGCATGCAGTAATGTAATAATGAGAGCTGCAAGTTTATCATCATCATTGGTGAAGACATCAGTTTATAGGCCCAGCAGTTTCAAACTTCAAGAGAAACAAGGAAAGAGAACATCTCCGTGCTAAATAGCAAGCATGGCTTCAGAAGTCCCAGCTAGTTAGCATTCTTTGGATATTTTTTCTGGGGCATGCAGGTGTGTTGGGAAATGAACCGGTAGACAGATTGGCTGGTTCACACCAGTGGCATGTTGAATGTTTGTGTGACAAGCTAGACGTGGTCAGGGTCCTTAGGGAGCAGGTGAACAGTGTGGAGGCATGAATAGATCATTATGGTCTGGAGAGAATGGTCCAGCTGGAAGTGACCAGGGATCAGGTTGACCTCTACACTCCGAGGGGAGAGCACTGTGGACATTTAATCAGACTGCTACTGGAACCAACAGAGATGGAACCCTTCACTGGCTGCTAAAGACTGTTACTGGAACCAACAGAGATGGAACCCTTCACTGGCTGCTAAAGACTGCTACTGGAACCAACAGAGATGGAACCCTTCACTGGCTGCTAAAGACTGCTACTGGAACCAACAGAGATGGAACCCTTCACTGGCTGCTAAAGACTGCTACTGGAACCAACAGAGATGGAACCCTTCACTGGCTGCTAAAGACTGCTACTGGAACCAACAGAGATGGAACCCTTCACTGGCTGCTAAAGACTGCTACTGGAACCAACAGAGATGGAACCCTTCACTGGCTGCTAAAGATGATAGAGTGCTTAAGGGAAAGTTCAGAATGCTGTCATGTCAGTTCTTGTCTCAACAGGAGAGAGAGTATGTTAAGTTTACAAATGTTGCCATTCTCCTTCACAGAGTTTCTGGAGCACGTTGACCAACTCGGCATCAAACGGCTGGTCCTCGCTGCAGTCTCTGGCCACCATCTGGGCCAGCAACCCGCAGGCTGAAGCCGGTCCTGGAGCATTCACCCACATGACCCGGGCCCAGCCGCAGACAGCCCCGCAGGTGGGTGCCATTAGTTGACACACCTAATGTTTGGGTGGCTTTTGTTTTATGACCATATTATCAAGAACACTGTTACCACAGAATTCGATTGCTTCAGAACTGTAACAACTTGGAACCTGATTAAAATGTTTGGGTACATTTTGCTGCGAGACTTGAAAGTTGCCTTGGAAACTGAAAACATGGCATGTGCCTTAAAATCCGTATACTCACCACCTGCCTATCTTATACCACTGACGGTGGTTGAGGTTAATGCAGGCAGTTAGTTGTTGACATATTGGTCGTGGAGGTGTGTCAATGGAAGCACTAGCACACAAAACCTGCCATCTTTCTCTCTTCTAGCACACAAAACCTGCCATCTTTCTCTGTCTTCTGTTTATTGAATAAGTGTGTAATAATTTAGTCGATTTCTTGATTGTGTCATTCTTTGCCCAGCTTTTCTTTGACCACATGCGCCAACAATCACTCTCTCTCTCTCTCTCTCTCTCTCTCTCTCTCTCTCTCTCTCTCTCTCTCTCTCTCTCTCTCTCTCTCTCTCTCTCTCTCTGTGTGTGTGTGTGTCTCTCTCTCTCTCTCTCTCTCTCTCTCACTCACTCACTCACTCACTCACTCACTCACTCACTCACTCACTCACTCACTCACTCACTCACTCACTCACCCTGCTGCTGTTATTATCAGCTGATGGAATCTATTCATGTATAATCTGTCTGTGTATGTGACATCAATGCAGAGTTTGTGTGCCAGTCGGCACTTCTGAGGCAGAACTGCAGTTCACCCACCTAAATAAGGATGTTCGCGTTTTCATTCTCCTATGAGATTATCTTCTTCTTTGTCAGCTTTCACCCTTAAAAATCTGATTGTCACATTGTGTTATCATTTACAGTTAGGTTTGCAATCTCTGCACCTTTCAGCCTAACATATCTGATTTTATCACAGCGTTACTAGACCTTTGTCCTTTAAAGTTGAATGTATCTGCCTGAGTGGCAAGGAACCAGCAGTATGCACATAGAAATATGTCAGATCTATCAAATGGATGTGCATGCACAGCTCATTTTGGCGTCTGTGGCTTAGGCGTTGCAAACGCGCTTTGTAATGGCGGGTGCTGGGTTTGATCCCAGCTGCAAGCCCTGCATCTTGTGTTGGTTTCGACAGTGGCATTGAGAGCCGGCCGTTCAGAAAGCAGTGGCAAACTACTGGATGTAAATTTGCCTAGAAAAGCCACAGCCAAAAAATACTGGGGTTGGTTCTGCAACGTAAAGAATATGCAGCTTACTTTTTTAATTCACACATCAAGGTTCTAGAACAAGACCAAAGTCAAGAAGTGGATGAACAACCAGAATTTTCTGCCAGAGTTAACAGCTGGTGAACACTAATAAGAAGAAGATAGTAGCCCCTGTATGACAGGCTAGTTAATGGACAGTTGGTCAGTTATTGCCCCCAGAACACACACATGGAGCTTGAGGTCTGTGACTTTGTTCAGCACAGCCAGGCTTGAAAATAAACAAAGCTGTAAGGGAGCACTTTCACTAATAGATAGAAGAGGTTTAACTAAATTTAAGACTATTATCTTGATGCACCTTAGGACAAAGAGACTATAGTATCTTTGCTTCCTCGGAAAGAAATGGATAGACTGAATAAGGCTGATTATAAACTCCTCAGGGTCAAGACTAGTACAGTTACATCAGATCGTTCATTGATGGCTGAAGGGTGTGAAAAGATGTGACCTAAAGTCATAACCATTGACACCTCCGTGCTCAGAAGCTAGTCATATATTACTTCTGTACCTACATATGCATCCTGAGGTAGGAGGGGAAGAGTGAAACAGTTCTGCTGGGTATCTGTGCACTAAAGGATAGAAGAGGACAGGCTGAACAAGGCTAGAGTATCCATATAATCCATTGTGGAAGAGGAAATGATACCACTAAGGTATCTTTGCTACCCAGGGTAGAAGAAAGACTAAAGTGATACACAGACAAGAAAGAGGATTAATTAACATGATGATGGAACATCATCATGTGAGAATAAAAGAGAAGGTTTTTCAAAGGGAAATAAAGTGTCGTATATCAGTGGATGAAATATTGACAGAATACGTTAGTAAAACTCTTAAACAATAAAGGCAAGAGTAAAACATAGCCTCATCTTCAGAGCAGGGGGGGGGGTAAACATTTTCTGTATCAGAGAACGTTTAAATTGGGTATAAATCAGGGCTTGCTGCCTTCATTGGTACCAAAAGAGTTGAAACAATGATTTCTGCACGTAGGGATGGGAAGGAAAACATTGAATGTATTACTTTTGTCATGTCCACAGCTGAACAGCGCTACGCCAGCCTTCAACCCCTTCACCTCCATGGCAGACATCTGGGGTCCAACCCCCTCCAGTGCCAACCTGGAATCTAGCAACCCCGGTTCCAGCAGCAACATGGCGCCAGGGCAGTGGAGCCCGTTGTCTCCCCCGGGATCCATCAATTCTCCCAAGGGAGACTAATGTTCTAGGGAGTGTGTTCTTGTTTACGTATGTCATTGTATGAAACTTGTAGGCTGTTTTAATCTATCTCTCATTCTCTCTCACTCTCTTTCTCTCTCTCTCTCTCTCTCTCTCTCTCTCTCTCTCTCTCTCTCTTTCTCTCTCTCTTTCTCTCTCTCTCTCTTTCTCTATCTCCTCTCTCTCTCTCTCTCGAGAGATCTCTCTCTCTCTCTCTCTCTCTCTCTCTTCTCTCTCTCTCTCTCTCTCTCTCTCTCTCCTCTTTCTCTATCTCTCTCTCATCTCTCTCTCTCTCTCTCTTTCTCTATCTCTCTCTCTCTCTCTTTCTCTCTCTCACTCTCTCTTTCTCTCTCTCTTTCTTTCTCTATATCTCTCTCTCTCTCTCTCTCTCTTTCTCTATCTCTCTCTCTCTCTCTCTCTCTCTCTCTCTCTCTCTCTCTCTCTCTCTCTCTCTCTCTCTCTCTCTCTCTCTCTCTCTCTCTCTCTCTCTCTCTATCTATCTATCTATCTATCTATATAGATCCAATGATTCTTATAGATATTTTAACCCTTTCAGAACCAAGCATGTGTTACCTTGACCCTTTCTATTCTGTGAGTTGTCACTTTGCTTGTTTGATCCCAGAGAACAATTTAAATATGAAATGTTCCTTGCTACCCAAAGAGTTAAAGCAATTAATGTGTAGGTCCGAGGAGTTAAAGTAATAGTTCTGTGGGGCAGGAATAGTCAAAGTAAGAATGAGAACAGAGTGAGTTAGTGTAACAATTATAGGGCCCCGTAGAAGTTCAGAAACTAATACATCAGTGGAAACCAACTTATTCATGTTGAAAGGCTTGCTACTGAAAAGGTTAACTAGATAGAGCCTTATACAAACCTGTACTTCTTATCAATATGGAGTAGTCTCCCCTTTTATGTATACTAAATTGTAAACCAGATGATTGGTTTTGCTTGTCCACAAAAATTAAAATGTAGCAATTTGTGAACTCAGGTTGTGAGGGTAATCCGTAAAATGGGATAAATTTCCGTGCATAAGAAGATATGTTTTCCCAAATTTTTCAAGTTTAAAATTTAGGGGGGGGGGGGGGGGGGTACACAAAAACCGTTCAAACTATTTATATCTTAGTTTTGGGCTAATCAGAAAAATAGTGGTTGTCTTTTATTTGGGGAAATATAAAATTATGATATTAATCTCCTTCTCCCCATGTGGGATGAATGTTTTTGTTATTTTGAAGTCCCACCCTGGATGTTGCCGGGGGCCCTAATATTACCTACGGTTGAATGGGGTTTCTGGGACCTCTCCACGTGTGATCCTCATCCAAGTGGTGGCACTTTGTGTCACTGGGTGTTTATCGCTCTGTGCAATGTCCTTATGGGGTTAAAAAAAAAAGTCAGCCAGCTGTATTAAAAGTTCACGTAATTCAAATGCAGAAAAGAAACATCAAGTGCACTGTTTATTTGGTTGCAGTAAAGGACTTTAAATTTAATGGAATTATTTAGAAGAATGTAGAGGGTAGTGTTGCCAGAACAGTCTGACCTGTTTAGCTTTAGAATATCGGAGCTCTTTCTAATTTGGGGGTTGGAAAAAATTTAAGGGGTCTTAGATATCACTTTTTTTTTTTTTTTTAAATACTTGATTACCCCCCCCCCCCCCCCCCCCCCCTTTTCATTTAAAGGTCTAGCTTATTTATATGCAGAGTGCTGGTTTTTTGCATATCAGGCAGGTGCTAGCTAGGAAGATAACATCCCTAATGAATCAACTCCTATGGCATGCTTGGGGGAGGGGGCGCAGTGGGTCTGGGTTTTTTTTCATTTTTCTAAGGGTGTTGCCCTGGAAACCACAAGGGGATGACTACTCCAGTGGCGTTAACATCACCGTCAGATTTATATTTGGTGCAAACTTTTGGCATCCACTGCATCTTTGTTATATTTTCCTTATGTGTCACAAGGTCACTTTAGCATCTGTGCTTTATTCCATTCATTGATGAAATCACCAGATCTGTTTTGTTGCATGTTGCATAGAGATTGGTCATGATTCAAGAGGAAACATTCAACTGTTAGAATAGTTTCTAGATGTTAATGTGGAGTGAGAGCTGTGAACTTATCATGTACTTATGTGTGTGTATGTGTTAGCTTGCTATGTTGATAGCACTTGTTTTCCTCATAGATTCTGTTAGAAGGGTTGTGCTCGTCTCCTAAGAATCAGTCCCTTCAAGAAGTCACATATAAATTATGTGGATCTCTTTTATTATTTTGCATTTTGTATAAAATATAATTCTTATGTTAGGTAGATTCTTGTTTGCTTGATTGACAAATCAAAATGTGGGTTCTCACTGAAGCTTGTATTGTGTGGGAGAAAACATGCAGGCAGCAAAGCTTTTGAGTGTGAAGATTCAGAGAAGACATCGATTTCTTGTTGATCATAATACGCTGGTAGGCACAGGAGCAGTTGGCTGAGAGATATGTATGTGTGATTATTTGTCCAGTCTGTAGGTGAAGGCGTCATGATGGTTAGCATGTTCTGTGGATTGTAGAGTTGGGGATGTTTGTATATGAGTGGGGATTTTCTTGTTATCCTTAGATTGTAGGGTCAGTGATTTGTATGTCAGTTTAGTTGTTCAGTGTCAGGGGTCATTGATTTATGTACGAATCATGATTGTCTGATCTGTAGCTTGTGGAGTCAGTAGTTCATTTGTGAGGCTTGACCTTTTAATGATCTGCAGCTTGTAGGGTCAGTGATTTGTATGTCAGTTTAGTTGTTCAGTGTCAGGGGTCATTGATTTATGTACGAATCATGATTGTTTGATCTGTAGCTTGTGGAGTCAGTAGTTCATTTATGAGGCTTGACCTTTCAATGATCTGCAGCTTGTGGAGTCAGTAGTTCATTTATGAGGCTTGACCCTTTAATGATCTGCAGCTTGTTGAGTCAGTGGTTCATTTGTGAGGCTTGACCTTCAAATGTATTTTCTTGTTGTTGGGGTCAGTGATTCATTTTCAGTCAGTAGTTTATAGATGGATCATTATATCCTGCATATCTGCAGATAATGAAATCTGCAGTTAGAGGTTTTCAGCTTTACATAGATGATCTGTTGATTGCTGCCAGAAGAAAATTAGGGAATCTTGAGTGACTTTTGATGTTTTGCCACAGTTAGAGATTTAACGACATAAAGCGCTATTACACTAAGTGTAATTCTTTGTATTCGAGTTTCTGTTAGCATTGAATAGTTTTCTGAGGATTTTCTGTGCAAATCACTGATCACTGACATATAAGCATTATATGTATTAATAGATAGGGAAGTTATATGTTTATAATAACATACAGAACAGTTACATGTATGTTGATGCCTCGTAAGATACTGGGTCTTGCCAGTGCATCACAGCTTAATTATGTAAGAGCAGAACCACTCATTGTTTCAGTGTACAACATCAGTGTTAGCACATTGCAGTAGCTTTTAGCACTCATCTGTCTGTTCTTTATATACAAAAAAATGTTTATAATTACTCATGAAACTTGTTACAAGATGTAGACTTTTTTTCTTTTCTTCTTCTTAACCACTTGAACCCACCGCTCTATTTTATTCTGATGAATTTTATTTTTTAATTCTGTGCTTTCGAAAACTAGGAAGATCTTTGTATCTATATCTGGACATAGGTCATGCTTCATTGGTTATGGAGCTACCATATATAACTTATCACATGTACAGGATTTTCATTTTATAACTCTGAAAGATCTAGATTGTGTCTAGAAGTCCAGTTGCTTTGTTAGCAAATGAAGTCATCTGACATAGGGCTAATGAAGTCATCTGACATAGGGCTAATGAAGTCATCTGACATAGGGCTAATGAAGTCATTTGACATAGGGCTAAATGAAGTCATCTGACACAGGGCAAAGACATCTTGGAGATGTGGTTAATGCGATATTTGTAGTTGACCAGAGGGCACATGAGCCATTAGTTGGTTGTCATGACCGTAGCCTCTTCATGTTAACCACATACATTTTGTAAGTGAAGTTGCTGATTTGTATGCAGTCTGTTGGTTCCTTGCCTTTCGGGCAGATGAACTTTGACTTTGAAAGAAATCTCTAATTAGTCTACTCTTACGACATGGGAAGCAATGGGTCTTTTTTTTTTTTTTTTTTTTAACAGTGGAGCCCTTGATCCCACATGGGGAAGCTCACAATATAAGCCCTACAGCAGATAAACGTCCTAGTTGAAACACACGACAGACATTAAATTACAAATTAATAAATTTTAAAATAAATATTAGTGAATACAATTATTGCCATTAATGCTTTAAATAAATACAATGTAAATGAACATTTTTGTAGATGAAAACTTAAGACATCCCCTGAAAGTAATCCCAAAGGCGTCTTCTGGAGCAAAAATGTTAAATAAGACCCGGTCTTATCTTTTTGTGGGAAGCATGGTATCCGAAACACTTGCCTGACATCCTAAATGATGGCTGCCATGTTGACACGGTGATTGCGGAATTCATCAGAGCAGCATTAGGCTACTGGTTTGAAGTCTTCTTCAGCTACAAACAAACAGTCATAAAAAAACAGGTCCTGTGCTGTGTCTACACATAGGGCTACCTGGCCCCTGTCGGATCTTGCCACAGATGGACGCTAAATGTCCACTTTCTGTTTGCGTTGATTGTGTTAGGCTGACTCTAATCAGGCCTGCTGTAAATAACTTATGCTGTGTGTCATGCAGTGACCTTGTTATCATATAAGCTGTTTTGTACTAATGTTGTTTCATTGTCGTTTTGCAAGCATCATTTCTGTTTGATTACCGTTGTGTGAGCACTTGAATTTATGTTTTATCACTTCCATCTAAAGTGACCTTTGTGAGCATTCCTTATTTGTTTCATACAATGACATACTGAAATATTTGAAGCTTGTCTTGCAGTCTGACGTTTACCAGTGGCACTGTTCCCACCATTTGTATCTCATGATGTTTTAGAGCTGTGAACAGTCAGTGATTCTAGCATATGCTATGTTTGGTAAGTC